TTGAATATAATGTATACAAGAAAATGCGCAGTATCTAGTACTAATTTTATTCTCATTATAAAATAATATTTTATGTATTTAAATATATATGATATGAGAATTATATAAATAATTATTACGATAATTTCAGTAATGTGTCTCTGTTATCACCTTTTACAATCACGATTATTTGATCTGTGGTAATTACGATTGTTATATGAGAAAATTTAAGTTCCCTCATTAGCATTAATTCGCTTAATAAGCTTTTGAAAATAATCATCTATGCTTACTTGTTGAAATTCTTTTCATTGTTTTATGAAGTAAATGAAGATATGTTAAAAGTAAATGAAGAAATTAAAATCTATAATTTGTAAATTATAGAAAATAAAAAAAAAATTTTATTTTTATTTTTGCTTGTTTTCTATCAGACATTTGTGAAGTGAAATGATAAAATAAAATAAAAAATGTATTAACGTGTGTATAAGTATTAATATATAAAAAGAAAAAGTTTCAGAGATTATTATTTACTTATTATTATTATTTTTTTACAAACTTAAGTGCTCATCTAGACATTAAAAAACTCTCTCTCTGAACAATATTTTGTAAATTTTTTAATATAATATTGCGTCGTTCACAAACTTATAGATGTATATTCTATTATAAATGACTATAATAATTATAAGAATTATATTAATATAATATTGAATAGACATCACAATCAAGTCAAGATTTGATTCAATCCTCCGTCATGGAAAATCTTACAACTTTTTTTTGTAACTGTTGAATTATTTCCTAATCATTTTTAGTTTTTCTGGCTTACAGTTTTTGCATTCTCCTAGACAGAAATTCTAGAGAACAATCCATGATGTGAGTCACGTTTAATTTCTTGATATCGATTTCTCTTCTCTCTTATTTCTCTTCCATTAATCTCTTCTTATTAATTATCCGCAAAATATTTTATAATAATATTTAAAAAAAGGATAGTTAAAGATGAGATAAGATGAAAAACAAAATTTTGTTGTTATAGTTCCAATGAATGAGAGATAAATTCTAAATTAAAAATTTAAACACACACAATAATTACTTTCATTTACTCAGATTAATTTTACAAACTTTTCCAATTGTCTCGAAACAGTTATATTCATAACCGATCACTACTTTCTCTAAGAAACGAGTCTTCAGGTTCAATCTGGTTTACCCTCCAATTCCAATCAGCCGCTGTTAATATGGCGCTAAGCGATCAGGACGAAAATACTTGTATTTGAAATACATTTAACAATGAAAACCGGGATCAAATTTAATATGATAAATCCCAACAATTCGCTACCGTTGTCGACAAATAATGTTAAACGTGAATAAATGCATCGTTTTTCTTGACAAAACGTGTTATATTGAAACTTTACATTTGAATGATCATAAATTGAGTTTTCCTCTCGTTTTTTATTACAGTTCGTCAAAATTAGCAAAAGAGTTCTTGTTAAATATTTTAAAGGAAATTCGTTTAATCCTCCCGTTTTCATGTGCGCGTGCATACGCATGTAGAAAATATATTATTCCCGAATTCTACTTATCTTCACAACAATTGCAATATTCATTAAGATTGTAAGATTATTTTGTGAAAACCTCCATCGTGCATATAATCAGAGAGTTGGCTTATTTCGATTAATGTCGAATGCAGCGCGCGTTTTAGAACCGCAATGTTAACCATTGTAAATCAAATTTTCCTCTTTACCAATGCAACCCGAACCGCCTTCGAAAATATCGAACCGATAAAGCAAAACCAACATATATATATAGTTATATAATTTTAGAATATCCGTTCTATTTTACTACTTATTTATCAACTCGCGCTTTATCAGATATCAAGTATATATTAAAAAATTATTTCCAATTTATATATATATTAATTTGAAATAAAATTAAGATTAATAGATAAATAAAAAAAATAATCTAAAATATTAAGACTCGATTTTAAATTAATTAAAGAATTTGATATCTATTATAAAAGATACTGAATGCGTAGAATGTTCTCTGTATAAGAGAGGGCGCGGGCAGTTCGTCGGATAACTTACAAGAAATGTCAAAAGTCTACCAGGGTACTCGTTAGATTCGTTTTCCACGAGACTCGTGCTTGCAAAGCGCAAGACGCAAGCAGGGAAGCGCGGATATCTTTCGCGTAGCGTCCTTACATCCCATTCGAAAATAATACGGCGCCTCTCGTTAAATTACCCGCCCACGCTCGTTTCGCGTCGTCCGCGCGTAATGCGTCACCCCCTTTCCGCTTCTCCATCCCCCGAGCTCTCTCTCTCTCTCTCTTTCTGTGCCCTCCCCGAGTACGTAATGTACATAAATACATTTAATCTCGCGCTCCTGCTGCCCTCCTGATATTTTTCGAGAGATCGATCGAGCCGCGCGGTCCCACATTTTCCCTGCTAATTCCGAGATCTCGTTTGTGAATTTCGGTCGACGTTGGCGCGTTCCAAAATTGGTATTGGCGATCCCTGGCAGCGCTGAGTTTCTGGCTCGAGCGCCGGGGGTATGGCAGAAGCGCGCGGCTATAATAAAGGCGCGCTCCCCTCTCTCCCCCCACTTGCCGTGCCCCGCCTGGTTTTGCCTCTCCTCTCCTCTCCTCTTCTCTCTTTTCCTCTCTTCTCTTTTCCTCTCTCCTCTCTCCTCTCTCCTCTCTCCTCTCTCGTGTCGTCCCGCCTCGTCTCGCCTCGTCTCGCCTCGTGCTGTTGCCGCGCGCGCTCGCTCGCTCGCTCGCTCGCCCGTTCGCTCGATCCCGCTCGGTCCCGCTTCGCCGGGTGGCAGCGGTACCCTCCTCCGGCTCCGACTACCGCACGACTCGGAATCGGAAAGGGGAGACCGCTCGGCGACGTGCGCAAGCGCGAGGGTCGAATGGAAAAAAATCGGCCGGGCTGACGACGGGGGATGGTCGTCGTATCGATCGCGCTAACATCGGGGACCGAGAGCGCCGAGAATCTACGGGTATAACCGTGATGCAGCCACGGTGACGAGCTATACCCGGCTCGACCGAGAGTGAATGACGCACCGCCGGATCCTGGAGAGGATTCAATTATATACCTTATTTCGACGTTATAACGAGAAATTCACGGCGTACTTCTCTCTCTCTCTCTCTCTCTCTCTCTCTCTCTCTCTCTCTCTCTCTCTCTCGTGTATTAAATTAAATCGTATTATTGATACCTAATTGATTTAACAACGGCAGAAATATGCGTATATTAGATACATAAAATGATTCGAATCGCAATTGATCGCTTACTACCGTCCGATAGAGAACGCGAATCATTATAGCGGACTAGAACGTACTTTAAGAGCACGCTCTTGTTCGAATGGCTCTACTTCCCATTCGCGCGTCCTGCGCGAGAGAGGCACAAGGTAGCACGCGTTGCCGGTCCCGGAAAAAGCCTCATCCGTTTATACGTTCTACAAAGCGCGCAACAAAAGTCAGAGCCGATGTCGCACGAACGCTCCCGACGTCGCTCGAAGTTACAACGGTACGGGATGGAGAGGAAGGAAGATGATACGAGATGGGACGAGAAAACGGAGAGACAGAGAGGGCGCGAGCGAATGAGCATTGAGCAGAGAGATAGAATGTAGCTGCGGGAGCAAAGGACAGGGGGGGGGATGACGATGAGAAGGGAAGAGCATTCGACGCGCGATGGATGCAACAGACTAAAAATCTCGGATATTTTCGGCCGCGTTCGGCCACCGTCGGATGTAAAATTTATACAAAAATACAAATGCACGACGAATATTAGCTGCGGCGTTATGTATATTAACCGAGAGAGCCGTCCGCGATAAATTCCCCGACTTTGTTCGACGTTGACTGGCGTTACATTCGCACGACCGCAGCGCCGTAATAATAAAAAAGCTGTAATATTAATCGTAGCAATGGGTCGGATAATTATTTGCCTTGGCGACGCAAAATAAGAGAACGGGTGCTAAAATAGCGTTTGCAAAGCTGAGTTAAAAACGAATAATAGGACAAATACATAGATATCCAGCGAATTCGATCAATCTACAGATTTAAAAGCAGGGCCGACTGTTAATTCACGGTGACCCCGTATCCGTCAAACCGTTTCATCATTAACGAAGTAATATCGATTTTATTATTAATTTATGAGTATAATGCAACAAATAGAACTAAAATCGAAACATTCTTGATAAAATTCGATATGTCGGTTTTTTTCTTAAATTTATGATGGCAAATTAGAACTCTTGGTCCCCTGCTACTATAGTCGTATCAGATCATAACGTCAGAGAGGTAGAATAACCATATGGATATTTTTCCTGCGCCATGCGTAAAAATAAATTAGTTTTTTCGCATGTCACAACTCGTATTCGACGGGACAGATTTATGAAACGTGGACTAACACGGATGGTTGTAAACCTTGATTAACTATCATAAAAGATCATAATCCTATATATGACTATTGTAAAGAGCCGGGAGCCTTAATGTAAATTTCACAAACTTTAGATCTAGATTTAACGTTTAGTTTCGACATTGACTAAGTATAGACTTAATCACAATGGGATAAGCAGAAACTTTACTGTCATATCTGAGATATATTGCACGCTACACTATTTATTTATTGTGATGCGCGTATGGATTAAAAAGTAGAATATTGCAATTATGAATATAATTAGGACTACATTACTCATGAGCCAGCAAGTACCATTTAAAAACATAATTTAACCAAAGGTTGAAATATTAAGTACATATATTATCTATTCTATTGTTGTACTATATTGTACAAATATATAGAAGATATCTTAAAATAATTATACAAATTAATTCAAAACGAATTTTTTAAGAAATTAAATGTTTTTTTAAGACAAATATTTTAAACAAATATATATTCATGTATTAAAGAAGATAAATATAAACTCCAAAGTTATGATCTCATAAAACATATATTAAATAATATATCTTGACGTGGACGGAATTTATATAATGTTTAGCTAGGCACAATGGATATAACATAAAAACAAAATACTAATATCTCCTAAAAATATATTTCTTTATCACAATGTTCTTTTATTAACACAATTTTGCAGCAGACTTAACAGACTAAATGCACTGTTTTTTTTTTCAGAAATATTTTTCATTGGACTATTTTGAAGGTTCCCTGTGTATTTCTAAATTGCTGCGTGTGCTATGTGATTTGCTTTGCGAATTAATGCTTTCGCTATCCTCTGCTTGCAAACTGAAAATATCTGTAAAAAATAACAATAATGAAAGCTTTTTATATTTTATTATGTAAAAAGATTAGAAAAATAGTACTAAAAGTATCTTTAATTTATGAACAACGTTATGTTGTTTTAACACAAACAATTGCTTATTTTTTAGTTCATCAAGCACTTGTAAAACACGTCTTACATACTTATAAAGATTTATATAAGTAGAAAAACAATAAAAAATCACTTTTAATAATGTAAACTATGGCAAAAACTATAATTTATGTATAACAAATGTATATATATATATATATATATGTATGTATATATATATCCATTACTATTTTTATTTTTTAGATACATGTGAAATATATCTTTACTGTTACAAAATTTACTTCTTATTATTCATGTACCGTAATTTTTCTATTTTAAAGGAACTTTAGAGTGCTAATTCTCAAATATTATATCTCTGATGCAATATTATATCTTCGATTTATAAAACACTTTACAAAATTTTAAGTTTTACACCATACAAAAGATAAAAACATTTACATGTTGAGACAACACAAACACTAGATATTATAATATGTAACATACAAGTAATGTTCATGAATTTCTTTAACAAAATAATAAAGACAAATAATAAGACTTTGTAAATAATAATAAATAATAATGACTTACGTTGCTCTTATCAAAATGGAATCTCTGCAATCTCTTGAACACGCTATCTCTCTCTCTCTCTCTCTCTCTCTCTCTCTCTCTCTCTCTCTCTCCCTCCCTCTCTCTCTCTCTCTCTCTCTCTCTCAGATATACATCCGTCTATAATAAAACGTGCAAAATTATAGTATCACTCCAGTAACGTGTAATTTGTCGTAACGTTTACAATACTTTACAGAATCGAACGTACTTGCCAGCCATACCGTAACGTGATCCTTCCGTTGGTCGATAAAGTCCTCGTAAGTTTCGCGTCGTCGCTAATTGTTCCGCGCCGATGTTATTTCAGATTGATAAAGCAGCGCAATTTGCGGCCGTACGTATTCCGTTGAGGCTGGCACATGGCGTCGAGACGCGTTGCCATTTTCATTAACGCGTTACGCCGCCGCCGTCGCCGCCACGAGAGACGAGCATTCGGTACGCCACGAATGTGACAGCCGGACCCGAACGCTTCGGTTAAGGTCGAGCGGATTCGGTCCCCCTCGGATTTAAATATCGGCCGGAAATAGGACCTCCGTTCATCTCGCGCAGCATCGTGGAAAGCGGGTAGTAGGGGCTACCGGAGGAGGTCCTTTCGATCCTTTCTCAAGCAGGATTGCGTTGCAGACTGGCAGAATTACTATAACAAAGCAGCATTTCTGTATTAAATAGATTAATCTTGTATTAGACTTGCTTTCGCAATTTCAATTTGTTTTTCGATAAAATATGACTGACATAAATTTAATATGACTGACATCCTTTAAAAACACGTATCTACAAACTGTGCTAAATTATATTTCATACGGATTATATGAATTCTTTAATTAATATGGAATTCTTTTTATTGATTTTTCAACATTTTCCAACGAAATGGTAAAAAATCAAAGGTTTTGAAACAAGCAATTGAAAACAAAAAATTATTTTAGACAAAATAAACTTTAGAAATGCAAACATATAACGAGATAGATATTACTTATCTAATTAAAAAAGACAAAAAGAATAAATCTTTTATCTAAGAATTACGTAAAAAATATTGAAAACGAATTTATGACAATAACTTCTCTTAACGTTGCCACTCATTTTAATTAGTCAGAAACTCTGATAGATGAATTATTTGATTTAGAGTCATTCCATATAGTAATCGTAGCGAATATGAAACAAATGGAATATCGACCACAATATTTAAAATTGTGGTAAAAATGTGAAAGCAGCAACAGTTTAATATAAAATATGTAGGCAATAAAAACATTAAAAACGGTTTTGTATTTGATCTCTTTTTAATAATTGACAGCGTTTATCTATTGATATTTTCGCAAAAATAAATTTCAAAATAGTTTATACAAAACATTATTCGTAAAAAATACAGCAGCAAAAATAATAGCGCTTGTTAGTGATAGAAGTCCTGATGGACGATAAAATCGATTGAAAAAAGAAGACGTGAAAGAAAATTAAAGAAAGACTATATAATATATTCTTTCGATCAATTTGACCATAAACTTTTGATATATTTTACTAAACTTTAAATGAAAAATCTATTAAAATATACATAAGAAAGGAAAGATATGAAAATAAAAATAATAACAAAAAATTAAATTGTATTCAAAAAGAAACATTAATTAATTATTTGATGAATGACGACTTTTCGCGCGAGACCTGAGACTAAAAATACTTATGGATATTTCCAGCAAAATAGTATAATTAAAAAAACGTGTAATAGCAACACATATATAATATATAGTATATAATATACAATACAATATAGTATATAATATATGTATATAATATATGCAATATATACAGTAAAAAAATTTCTGGTTGAAAATGGAGGCGAATCAGAATTTTCTGATTAAATTTATTAGAATTCTAGTTGATACAATATTTTAGTAAAATCTACCAGAATAATCCTTATTTTATCAGAATAATTATATCAATCAGAATTTTAATTACCTCAACTAGAATTCTAGTAAATTTAACCAGAAAATTCTGATTCGTCCATTTCCCACCAGAATCATATAATATTTAATCCAACCAGACCATTTTTCTCAGTAAGCTTAAAAAAATCAATAAATATTTCTCGATATAAAGGATTATTTCACGGAGACTCTCATATAAGTGTATTATAGATACAAGTCTAAAGATTGAGTTTCATTAATTTCTACATAAACCATATTGTATGAATAACTTGCCGCGTTCACTCATCGTTGATGAAATTGGAATCAACAATATTGGGAGAAATGTCGCGGATAATACTAGTATATTTAGGTGTACCAGTTGCAACACATTACACACGTACTTAATAATAGGTACATCTCGCAAATATCCGGATATAAGATAGTTGGTGATACAGCGGCGATCGCTAGAAACCGTGCGAGCGTGACTGTACAGGTTCCTCAGGTATGTACGAGCCAGGTGGAAACGTACTTGCGAAGGTAAACGGGATCTCTTCACGCTCGACCTCGTCCCAACTTCGATTCGCGACCAACGATCGACCAATGATCGACGAGAGTCCACCCGCGAATTATCGCGTGTACGCGTACGTTAAGGCTGCGCGGCGAATTTATTCGCGTACGCGACACTATTGTTTCTGCGCCACAATTACGTCGGAAATCTATCGCGAAGCGAGTTACTGCGAGATGCACGCGCTCTGCGGTTAATTCTGGACTACTACGGGGGATGTTTACGAACTCATCCCGACGGCTTCATTTGCAAATTCTTTAGCTAATTTGGAACTGATTATTTCTTACGTAAATCGGGAGAAATATAGATAATTGTAGTAAAAAGTCAACAAATTATATAAATAAATTTGATTTGTTATTTAATTTCAAACGGAACTTGTATACTTTCAAATAGCATATGATATACATTAGCAAGAGTGATATAAAGTAATAAAGAAAGTGAAGAAAAAATAATTTTCTATCCAAGAGAAAGTTTCATATACTGTTTGCAATGTTCGCAGACACGTTGTATTGAAAGAAAGACTTACCTTTACGCGCGCGATCATTAAATTTACGAATAAATCCTATATAGAGATTTCCCCCATGAGCTTAACTATTAGGTCCTTCGATACAAATGCTTGCGATACGAATCTTCGAAAGCGAGTTAACGGCAGGCGTTATTAGCGCGACAAGGTGAAACCCAGGGGCAGAAATGTCTATTGATTTTTCGAAGAAAACTCGGCATCCCTTCTCTCTTGGATCCGCCGCCGCTAACCTACATTCGAGTTATAACAGCGGTACGAAGTCTGATAAAATGCGTCCGATAATGAGACCCGCAGCGAATCGCGCCGATAACAACTCGTTATTTTTTCTTTACGGAAAACAGATTTGCCGATTTTTCACATTTCCGATTTCTAAATTTGGTTTCCTTGCAAAATTATATTCTCAGATCGGTGTCGCGAACGATCTCGACGTTGCGATACCGATACTCGTGGCATCACCGATTTTTGCCGATTGTGTTCGAATTTCGGTGGTTCCGTTGGGCAACGTGGCACCATTTAAATGTTTCCCGTTTTCGAGGATGAACACGCCAGGATACCGAGCAACGGAGAGGGCGACTCGGTCGCAACCCCCCATTCGCACTCGCGCCGAGGGGGATCGATCCGCGTTCACTCTGCGCACCTACCCCTGCGGCAAAACCCAAATCCGAACCCCGCTCGAAGAGCAGGAGCAACGCCGGCTAAAATCGTCCGGCGTTTTTAGCCGGGGTAAATTTTCGATGCCACACTGGTTAAGCATGGTGATCTATGCGATTCTCTCCCCACTCGCGCTTTTTATCGAGAACTGAAACTGATAGAAACCAACATAGCTTCAATGAAGTCCGACTCGATATGGGAAAATGGTCCCTTTATTCCAACAATGGGCACACGAAGATTATACCCCAATACCGATTTCTGCTTCTGTAAAAAGAGTATCAGAGTACACCGAAACTAATAAATTACACTGTACTACAATCTTCATTCATTAAAGCAAAATTATCCCCGCTGGTGCAATCTAACTTCACCTTACGATATTGCAAGAGCGCTATTAGTAAAACGACATTACCCTCTCTTGGGACCACAGTCATCAAAAGAAAGTAACGGACTGTGGCGACTATGGCGTAATTATATAATGTGATAAAATATTGCGTATGAGCTAGTCTACTTTGAACATGTTGATTCTAATAGATTCGTCGATAAGGAAAAATTGTTTTATGGTATCAATTAAAGCGAATTAGTTATTGTCAGATATGAAATTCAGGATGAGAGAAATTGAGAGAGATATTTTGGTTAGCTAACTTTGGACGCACGATGTGTATATTATAAATTTCTGTGCGGATAAACCGCGAGTTCCGGCGCACACGCGCACCTCGGTCATTCGCGGAGAGTGCATCTGGTGGTCCACCGCCACCTTCGAATATTCGAGATGGAAAATTTACAATCGAGTTCGCGGAGAGTTGAAGATACGCAGAAGGCTGTACGGTTCAGTAAGGGCGTACGATCGATACGGAAAAGTTCCTCGAAATCCTGAGTAAAGCTTCGTTCGCCTCGTGCTATTTCGCGTAATCGCGATCGTCAGATCGGCCGGATTCATTCTGGTCCTATGCGTAATTTCCTACGATCCTACGATCGTTCAAAATGAAAGTCATCTCGACTGGCTTCGTGAAAAACGGAACCGAAATTCGACAAAAAAGTAATGCAGCGGCATACCGGGGTACATTTTAATTTCATTAATTTCTTGTGCTTCAACCATGTCAGCGATGTTTGCCCTTCTCGGAAGCTTTAGGGTTAATTTTCTTGATAAGATGAGAAACCTTTCAACTTAGGGAGCGCTAAAGGAAACGTGGCCTCGCAGGATGTCCATCACGGTCATCTCCAACGGAGAAGATAGGGTGTGCGCCCCCTTTCAAAGAAAATGAGATTGATTGGAGGTGATATGATGATAATTTTTTTCAATTTTGCAATCTATTGATTTTGTCAATTAGATTTTTCATTTACAACATTATTTTTGTCTGCAACAAATGTTTATCTTAATTTCAATATATTATTGTAGTATTAGTATTATACTTAAATATGTGATAATACAAAGTTAAGACGAATCAATAAATAATTTTATTAACTAAAATAAAAAATGCTCGAGCAATATATGTATATATATTATATTTTTTATTTTATATTACGGTAAGATAGTTTCTTTTTAAAAAGTAAAAATAACATTACAGTTTTATAAGTTAATATGTAAAGAAGATGGTATTATAGCACCCGATCTACATTTTATATAATAATTTGATTAATAATCAATATTTAAATTTAAAACTTAATGATTACATTCATTAAAATGTTGTTTAATCAATTTTAGATTCAAAATTACAATATTTATTATTTAGAACACTATTTATAAAAACGTGGCGACACTGCACAATGCTCGAAGAGAAACAAGGGTGGTAATATGGCCGTCCATAACAGTAGATTTAAAAAATTTATTTATAAAAAAAAACTGGCAGAGACCACCCTCTTGCATTGGCAAGATGCCAATATTGTTATTTAACGTTGCGTAACTCGTAATGTACACGGCCAAATGAAATGTTAAATAACTAACAATATATTCAAATATATATTTATAATATACAATATATATAAACGAAATGCTTGAAAATAAAAATGCATTAAAATAAGTGCTCACTATAGTATATTAGCATGATGTAAGCTACTGAACAAATAATTCCATAAAATAAACTAGAATTCGCCACCTAATAGCGGAGATTAGTAAGAGACCATGATATCTATACACTGGTCATTATGTCATTTTCTTTATTAATAAATATTATGTCTTATAAATATTATTACAATTTTGAAAAAAATAAATGTGACGTAGTGCCCAGTTAAAAAGATAATTTGCAAAATAAATTTTATTTATAAATATGTAGCTGTAGAAGATTTGATTTTTTATAGCATGCGTGTGTCCTGCGTAAACGAATAATTGGGTTAAAGAATAGCGGAACGAACATCCAATTTTGTGTGTTCATTGGACATTCAGTTGTGAGGGATCGCGTAAACGAGAGGACAAGAGAGAACCAACAGGCGATGTAGTGGGAGAAGGGTGGTAGAAAGTTGTCGATGATCAAATGATTTTCAGGAATCGCGAACGAATCGAGGGGTTTGTGCGCACGATTCGTGTGCATTTTCGAAATTCCAGCCAGGGAGAGAGCCATTTTACATACGGAATTAACGTTGCGCACGCGTGGCTATATATGCATTCGCTGCGTATAACTATTCCAATCCAAACGAATCGAATAGCTCGAAAGTCCATTCATCGCAGCGTTCATCTCGATATGTGCACTGCTCATGCATCATTGATGCATAAAAATGTACTGGACACGCATTCTCTGCCTTGTGATGTCGCTACCTCTTTTCATCATAATATATTAACAATGCGAGAAAATTTTCATTGAAATTCGAAAAATAATGATCAGACATTTTGTGATTATCAGTATACAAATACGCGATTATCTGCAAATTTTTATATACTGATATAAATAATAAGATGAACGACTATACAAAAGCAGTATATTAGTTATATCATTTAGGAGATTAACTGGAATAGAAATCGCGTAAGTTCGCAGCAACTCGAATTGTACTGCGTATGATTTTTTTATTTCTATAAGTATATATAACGAATTAGATACATTGATAGTCATCAGATTATCTAAAGATATAACATTTATATGATGCAGCAGAAAATAATGATTCGTCCACGGCGAAAATAACATTTATAAGAATATGACATACTCGTCCCATCCACTCGTTTCTTCAATTATAACGACGCGCATCGTTTGGTTCCTCCACTTTTCAGAGCGTCGAATACTCCGTATCTCAATATCCAATTTCACTAAGAATTTCTGAGTTATATTTCCACCGAAAAATTAAAAAAAAAAGAGGATAAGGAACGAGAAGAAAATAAATATATTTTAATTAAATAATTTTATTTTGTTGCTATCTCCTTTGAAGATAGCGTCAACATAAAATTAATGTTCTATATTAACATAAAATGATCATTCCACTAACAAAAGTAAATAAAGTTTGTATAATAACAGTACATATAGTTGTAATAAATTTATTAATTTACGCATGTTTTAATATTATGTTACTAAAAAGTTAATCTTTACAGGGACTGGAAAGTCACTTGCATCATGGTTTAAGACAATAAATACGATGAAACAATGAATTATAACAATTAAATCTTACTTAAAAAAAAATAAAAAAGCTATAAAAGATTTTAAAAATAAACCTCTGAAAGAGTTAACAAAACACTTTGGAATTCTTGTTTAATACAAAATATGTAAGAGGTAATATTACTATTTGCGTCATATGCGATTTATCAAATACTTTAATAACTTTTTAAAAAACAAAGTTTATATTGACTGATACACGTTAATATTTGCAGTAACAAATATAATGATTCGTAATTTATGCGATTCATAAAAGGCACGTCGGCGTCGCCCAACGGTTCGCGTTGCAGAAAATCTCACGGCTACTGCCGGGTTAACGAGAGAGACCCGTGCGGTATGCATCTCAGCATTATATCTTCGCACTTTGCGCCGTGGGCGTTACAGCGTGTCAATACATTTTTCTCGCCGCGTTCCGGTTTGTCCGCATTTCGCGTATAATCAGCGCAGCATCAAGCGCTGCGTCGGTATCGCAGTCCGTTGGCATTACGGTTAGTCGGTATCCGCGTACGTCTGGTCGGTACTACAGAGCGTCGATAATACGCCGTCCCCGCTTTTATCCATTGGAATTGCGCCCGTCGATAATTCGTAAGGGATGAAAGGCGGGAAATGGAAGAAGGAAGGATGAAGAAGAAGATGACAGGGTAGAGAGGCCGATAGGAGTGGATTGGGCCAGGACGTAGGTGATAGCGGAGGATGACGCGGGCGGGTCGGAAGGACGAGGGAGGATAGGGTGAGTGGATACAGGGTAGGGGCAGAACGCGCACTCTTGTGGAGGAGGACGAGCGAGCGAAGTGGTGTGTGGAAGGGTTCGAGTGGCAGGTGGGAGGGAAAGCGAGAGATGAAGG